ATATATCAAACATTTACTCAATTACATACATGTTACTTATAAGTAGCGTCATACGTTCATCAGATTCCACATGAAAACGACACTGATAAGTTAAAAAATTTCAGGAGTCCTGGTGTGATATAAATATCCCGTTCCCATAAGTTGTTTTACCTTGTCGAGTCTAAGTGCGATGCAATACCAAAAAAATAATGATCAAAACAAAAAGTAATGCTAGTTGCAATGCAGTTAATTACATTTTGTCATTTAAGTATTGAAAATCATAATTTCGTATATTGTTTGTTTTGTTTTAATACTTTAGTTCCACTTGTTTGGCAAAATAATTCTGTTGTTGCTTCTAGCTACCTCTAATTTATTGAACTAACATTGATTAAATACACAATTTCTATGCATTTTTTGTTTAATTCTACCAATCTATTAGATTTCTAGTTAGCTGAGTCAGCTGTTTGGAGTATCAAACTTGGATTAGCCCATTCGATTGTTCAGAGGCACCGGCACCCTTGATGGTCTTGGGTGTGGATTTCACTCCTTGGGAGATCGTCAATTCCCCACGAGATAATGCATTCAAATGCGATGGATATGTTTGTGATAACCAACAAAGAGCACTGGGCAGCTGTTTCGTTCTGTTTGGGACTCGTCAGCAGTTCATACTTTGTGTCTCTGTCAGGACAAGACCATCAAGAGTGCCTGCTGCCTCTGAACAATCGAATGGGCTAATCCAAGCTTGAGACTCTGAATTGATTTAGCCATTTGCACAAGGTGATAACCGTCGACCGTGTAGCTCGGGGGTAAGGGTTTGAAGTCCCGACCCGACTGATCGCGGTTCGAACCCTGACAGGGACTCAAGAGGTACGCATTGCTAACGAGTCCTCACTCAACTGTGTTTATAGGGCATCCTGGTCGCCATATCTTTCCCTAATTTTGGTACACAGTTCACTGCTAGGTCGGTTGGAATTTTTGACGAGTTTCTTCCCTTTTTGCAGTCAAATTCGGTAATGTTTGCACATATACATACATTCGACAAAAATGTCACTAGGAGCCGTGAGATATCACTGTTAAAAATATCCTGGTGATGATCCGAAAGATGTTTGTCTCGGAATTAATTAAAGATTTTTTTACTTGACAAATTTTTTTAGGCGCCTCTATAGCTCTCGGTAAACTCGTCCGCGCACGTATATCAGTTACGCTTGGGCCGTCGAGTTTCCTGGTTACTGTGCGTTCATATTTCACATCTTGTTCCGCTGATCTCTCGATTTTATTGTATGTAATATGAAAAGTGATACAGTTTATAGTTTCAGCTCTTGTTCTTTTTGTTTTCCTTTTTCCATTTCGTCAGGACACAACCAAACCCCATTTTTCATGACCCAGACGACGATGTAAAGAAGGACGACACACCCATATGGAAGAAGCAGAAGTTAGCCTGATCCCACTCTCTGTCCTCCCTTTCGACTCTGGGATCACTCACTCACTCATCCATTCACGCGCTTGTTTAGTTCCCGCACACACACATTGACGCACAGGCTCAGGAATCTCCACCCCTTCTTTCGGTTGATGATACCCAGAATGTGTGACAAAATACATGTACATACATAATTACTGCTTTTTCGATAAAAAAGGGCTTAATAGGGTTGGGAGAGTAGGGCAAGGAATATGGTGGGATGTTGAATAGAAGAGAGAAAAAGAGCGAGAGAGGAGCGCGAAAAGTGAAAAAAGAAAAACGGTTGCAAAGCAGAGTTGTGTACATACATTGGTGGTTCTGTCCTCTTTAATCTTTTCTCTGGTTATCACAAATGGTGATCACGAATTGTTATCATGGATAATGTAATTTTTCAACAGACGACAGTGCAAGTTTTTACGATACGCGTAGCTTGTGCAAAGCATCGGGTTGGTAAATCGAGGTTTTTAGTAATTGGTCGATTCCGACAGATGGGTTCAGTCGGGTGACATTCTTCGATGAACTCTTCCCCTTGTCTGTCATTCGCGTACTCACTCACATGATTGATATATACGCGCGTGTGATAAATACCTCCGTAAGTGTCACATCACAGCGCTAACGGTAATTCTACCAGTGGCCGTGGGATTATAAAAATAAGGAAGCATGAATTGTGAGTTGAAACATGGACAGACCATCACAGTTGCTGTGCGGTTGAGGTTAGGGCTGAGGGTTCAGTGGTAGTGATTTCGGTGGAGGTGGACAGTCATTATAAAGTGAGGCAGTACTAACAACAAACCAGTCTCACCACTGACTGTCGTGTCGGACTGTCAGTCACGTTTTTCATTGTGGTCATGAAATAATGCGTGATAAAAATGTTTCTTCTGCCTAGTTGTGTTTGAATGTCTGTTATTTTTTGTACACAAGGCAGTGGTGATTATTAAAATCTTAAAGATGTCTGCCCTTGACGATGTGTATGTGTGAGCATAAAAGATTGACTGATGAACGAGCTCTTGTGGGCGGGCACATGGTTTTCAAGGCAATTGGGGATAGAAGGGAATGGGCGATATCCAGTGGTAGTTCGTGCCCCCAAACTCTGACCTCATACGTATGCATAATGGGATTGAAACCTGGACTTCGCGATTGAGCTGAGGGGGTCAATCGGTTTCTATTTGAACAGGCCACGTATAGTCGACCGTCGTCTTTGATTCGAGCCGGGCGCTTCCTCGCTGGGATAAGCGGAATCTGACGGGAGACCTTTGTCAATTGTTTGTGCTCCTCGATAACCCGCGTAGGCAGATGGTATTCGTTTGTTCTGTGAAAGTGAACGGGTGGAAGGATGTCAGTTTTCAAATATACCTTGGGACTGCAAATAGTTTACCATAAAGACCCTCGTTTAACCAATGGAATCCAGACAATAATACGTTCTCGTACTTTTGCTGTAAAACTGCACCAAAGTGCTTGTTGGTGTTGTGAGGGATTGGGTTCGTGTGTTGTCCCCCTTCTCATTGAGTTTTCTATTGTATTAAACTGTTCTCTGTTTTATATGTAACCAATATACATTCCAGTGTGTTCATGACGAAACTTGGATAATGGTAAACAAATCAACTAACTGCCGTTTCAAGCACGGGTTGGTTCGACTATTTTGAGATGCAGAAAGCTGGTCCGTTTGACCATCGGCTGATATTCATCCGTTTCCGGCAGAAATAAGTACTGTTTTTCTGTGGTCTATTTTGAAATATCGGATAGTTGTACATTATGTTGCTTAACTTTACTCAATTTTGGTGAGTGTGACTTAACCGCGAAACGTCGATCATTCACTGTCAACTGGATAAATGAAGTCTAGCATTTTATGTGAACTGGGATTGTGGCGACCTTCAATTAAACGTAACTTTTTTCAAGCATGCCTATGGCCGGATTGATCGATTGGCTGGTGTTGCCTGCTATCACATGTGCACGCACCCAGGCGAAACGAACTCACTCTAATGACAATGTCAATTTGTTTCAGCGAATCGAATGTCCGTATTGAACTATCCGCAGTCACGTACCCCGCACGTGGATTTCATGTAACGCCTGCGCTTGCTCATACGTTTGGTTTTGTGAACCACTGGTGTGTTGATGCGCTGCTTGCTCATGGGTCTGCAGACCGCCTGCGCGTATGTTTACACACTGCAAATAGATGAACCACTTAATTCACTGCATATTTATCTACCTCTTTAGACGGAAAATCAGTTTTCTTCATAAATTGGTGTTGCCATCCAGTCATTAATCCCTTAAGATAAAGTATTTCGGTAATACTTAGTCGCTTAGTACTGGAATCGATTGATTTCCCCTGTCATTAATCACTCTGCTGTCATGGTCTGTTAAGGAGTTAGTTATTCATTCAGTTATATTGTTTATATCCATGCTTACTTGATGACCGTCATTCATCTCTGGGGGAAATCCGGGAAGGTCACTATCATCCATCCCGTTATCTCTGCTCCATTGTGCCGCGTATCTATCAGGGTAACCTCCTGGATGTTCGGCAGAATCACGTGGAACGCTCTGATGCTGGGAATCCATCGAAGCAAAACGACTGGAAGTTGGTGGAGAGCATCCGGCTTGCGCTGAGTAGGGTCCCGTATTGGCGTTCCTCGGAGTCCTCTCAGAGTTCGGACCGATACCATAAGGGTCGTCTGGACGGCGTGTGGCTGGGACTGGAGCCCCTCCACGAGCCTGGGGTGGCATTCGACTTGGGGCATCATAGCCGAAACCACGTTCCATTTGCTGCTTGACCGCAGTGAATAAAACAGTCACATACCGACTGAGTGTTATAGTTTACGGTTGACAATAATTCTCAGATATTTGAACAAATCACACGAATGAAAGGGCCAGTGCATTTCATTGATGCACCAGATTCGTATCAGATAACAGTCTACCGATATCACGTGAATATCGTAAACGGAGTGTGGGGATGAAAGAGATCGAATTTGAGTTGCCAAACGTATTGCCTGAATACTGCTAGCACTGATGTCCTTTGAAATTTGATTAGGTAACGCTAACTTGTCACTGAGGCAGTGAACCTTGCAAGCATCTTATATGTGATATATTCATACCTATCCATTTTGTACGGTTAGAAAGGCAAGATCCGGTCTTTTGACGAAAAGTCAAAGGTTCACAGAGCCTTTTTAAACCCATTGTTTCACAAAGTTAGTTATCCGTCCGGGTCTTATATTTCTACTGCAGTTTTCCGAATTGTCAGTCGACGTAGTTCTCTTGGTATTATAAACCGCCTCATTCATTTTCAGTGATCGATGGGGTCACAGATGAAAACCTGGATGCTAACTAAGCAATGGGTTCACAGAAAAACAATCTCTTTTGCATGGTAAAGCAATTGTTTGGGTGATGTTGGGATCGTGCGAAACGAAAGTATTTTCGTCCATTTGCTTGGTCTCTGACGGACTGGTTTGCTGTGCCGCTGGCCTGAGCACCGTCAAAAGTATTCAACTTATCGCAGAAAAAAAAAATAATTTATGCTGTCTCAAAATATCGATCAGGATGGGCGTTATTCAATAAAAATCAAACGAGCTAAACCCAGGTTGGGCTTTATTCCAATGGTAGGTTTAATTGAGGCGTTCCCTGGGGCTATTACTGATTCAGTTCAGTTACCAGGCAGTTAGTCATTTATATCAGATTTCTGTTTCTAGATGTCTTTCTTCTATCGTTAAACTGTGAACCACGCTCCACTTGATATCTTTAATTTCAAAAGAAACCAAGTTCACTAGATTGGATCCTTACGTTGATGATCCTCTACCCCTTTTAGTGTCTTGAATATGGATTTTGCCGTCTATGCTGTAAGTTACCTAGTAATAAAATAGGCTTGTCGGTGGTAGAGATTACCTAATGACAATTTTATGCAAAATGACCGTTTTCGATCAACGTAACTGGTGACGAATATTTTTCGAGCTTTATTAGAAGAACAAATAAACTACGTTTACTAAAATTTACTGCTCCAACGTATCCGAAGTTCGTGACTTTGGACCTGACACCAACATTGGTCTACATGGTTGAAGCTTCAGGTCGATCCCGTACAACAAGGTCGGATTTCTTATTGTTCACGGGTCAAGTAAACCCCCATTTCCGTTTTTAGGCCTGAACAAGCCAGATGATTGCGTTTCTCAAGTCTACTGTATTTTTATCAGTGGCTTACTTCGCATTCATCTATAGCATAGCAGAGCAAGTGCAAGTTTGCTGATCACAATCACCACACATCCTCTTCCAAATACCCTGATCAAAGATGTAACGTTGTCTACCACCTGGTTTGCAGGAGGTACCTGTATGCAAGGACTACATCTTAGGGATCTTATGACTGAACTAACCTTGTTTCAGTTACCTGTACAATAAAAATATTACTTATGAGCATGCAAAAGAGAGTGGAAACGGTCCATAGATTCTCACCGGATTCGGCTCAGATGGTATCGACGGGGCTTGAGGACTGACTCTGCCTGTTTTATAGCCCCTATCCTCATACGGTTTTGTCACTCGAGCTATGGAATTCTGACTACCACGGGTTCGTTGGTCACGCATCAACAACGGTCGAGATGAGTTGGTTGAACTTGGAATTGGCCCAGAACCACTGGGTAGTTCACGTAGAAAATTGGATGGAACCAGACCACGACGACCATCGGCTGTCTCTCCGGCATAGAAACCATCTTCATCCATCTCTCCGTAAACCGTGATATGATCTCCCGTGCGGAAAGAAAGTTCCATCTGGTCGGATAGACAGGGAAATTGAAGTTGTCGATAGTGCATGCCAGATCGAAGAATGAGCAACGGATTAGAAAAAAGAAAATTTTCGGATGACGAGTTCCATAGAAACATTAGGAGAATAGAAAATCAAAAGCACCGAAGTCTGTTTTTGATCATAGTTATACAGATAGGGGAAAGAGTTATGGTGTGATCGCGTTGATTGGTGACTAGAAAACGGTGTCCATTTTGTCAAGAAAAACAGTTATTCGATGAACGGGAACAGAAATGAAGCACGCTAGTTTTGGAGTAGAATCGAAACGAACCATTTCCATTTTACATCATGTGCCAAAAATATAAAAAGCGGATTTCGAACTATAAACAAAGATGCGGATCTGTTAGGATGGATTTGAAACCGGTTGTCGACTGGTCCAATTGCACTGGGTGCCTAGTGGTATCCGTGCCACATTACCAGTTATACGTTTGAGATAGATAGGTGAATGGAAAAGGTTCCTTTTCGCAGTATATCTTCCATCCGGTCTGTTCCTGTTATCACAGAATATCAATGCTTCAGGTTCCTCGTTAGACTAAAAACCTTGACACAAATGAAATGAGAATAAACCGGACGAATAGTTTACCCTCATGAAAGTGAAATATCGCACAACTGTGTCATACGCTATGAGGATCATCATTCATGCGATGGCACCAACCCAACTGAAGACACCCTCCAAACCCATTAGCGGAATGCTACCAGACTATCTCCTAAAATGAAGAGAATCTGATCAGATTGGCTAACTATAGCTGTACACTTTACAACCATATATTTTCAGGTATATGGTGGATATACCAATTATGCTTGCGTTCTACCTCTGAGGTCCCGGGTTCGATCATCAGATGAGTCGATGGTTACGCACCACTGATGAGACCCGGCCACTGCGAAAATAACTATCCAATACGACCGAACCTTTCAGTTCATATTGCGTACACGATAGATGAAGAAGCTACAACATAATGCTATCGATGCAAGGCAAAACACGTCAGTATAGCCAACGGAATTCCTTCGACTGTCAACTTCGCCTTTTTTACAAATTCGGCTTTCCCATAGTTAACAATCGGCCTAAATTCAACTATTGGATGCCCATTGGCAGATACACCATTTGGATAACCAGAATCGTAGTTGTTTACGATCTGGAAGGGCTATTCAGTGAAATGAAGCGGATGGCATCCTTAAAATCCACTTGTAAGGTGTTAATTGCCCCGTCCTCCCCACTTGGATCGACAAATGCATGCTGAGAGAATTTGACAGTTCTTCACAGTATTTGACTTCAAGCTCCTCTCTTCTGTTCACAGTGGTTTTCTCTGCACCGCCCCTGATGGGCGTTTGCAAAGCGAACTAAGTGGATAGCTTAGGGTAGTACCCAAGGATGAGTTGCTTGTTAGGAATCGTCGACACTACATGTCCACACTATCAGTTAGTATACGACATGACTGTGTAGGATTATCAATCATACAGACTTAGCAGTTGGCTTCATATCAGCACGTGTCATTCAATTTATTCATTTACAGCACCGTTGAACGTATATATACGTATATATACGTATATATATATATATATTCTTCCCTGGTGGAATAGCTATTTCGTTTCATCCTGCGCGTTCACCCTCTCCTCCCACCCTACCTTCAATAACTGTGTGCGCATAGCATTTCCCTCCACGGTTGGTGAGGGGGGGATGATTACCCTGTTCCTAATAATGACCGGTTCGACAGGGAACTCAACAGTGACATTTTACTTTATTTTCTGTTTACTGCCCCAGATTTAATTCAACCAGACTGGGGAAAGTTGTTGAGAATGGAAGTGCATCATACTTTTCTGGGATGACAAAAATGTCATTTTTCCAGACTGGGTTATTCTGTGTGGATTCGTTGAATGGCACCTTTACACGTTCACAGCTGTGAACACTCGTGCACGCGCACACACACTCATAAACATATATCGTGTGAGATTATTATTGTGGAGTTTATCTCGGGGCGTGAATTCACTCGTCTTCACTGTCTATCTCCACACTGGTGTGCGTTGTCGGTCTGTCCGTGCCCAACTTCAGCTCAATGAAAAAGGCAACAGAAACAGAAGTGAAGTCCGGTAGAGACCAATTCAGCCGATGCCTATGAGCGGTGTTAGCCCGAGGAGAAAACAGGGAAATAAAATAAAGGCCTAATTATATCCCGATTTCGATGGTCAGAGTTACGGAAATACAATCAAACTGAATCGATCCGAGCTGACTGTAGGGTTGGTTTTGGAAGTTGACTTTCTGCTGCAAGTGTCAGGTACAATGGACAGAACAAATGTTTCGATATCAGACTAACATCAACAAAGCCTGAATACAAGAGCTCTGTGACATACTGAAAAAGGAGATAATGTAGGAGGTATTTCACATAGCGTGAGTAAACTAGTCACGCCAGATCTATCCGCTCGATATTTTAAACACGTTCCGTTCTAAAACTGACCATATATTATGACGACCGCTCACTTCTGATTCACTGTCTCAGTTCCCAGGGTTTAAAATACTCTTCACGATTTAGTCGCAACATCCCACCGTCTTAACTGACTATTTTATTCGAGTCAAATCACGTTCCCAATCAATTCATTATTTTGTTCGTTACATCTTTCATTGTTTGATATGATCGTTCGAAAAAGAGTTCAACTGCTCTCTTACCCCGAACTCCGACCGTTCAACCTTGTTGTATGTGACCGGTGAAAATGATTATGACATCTAATATTATCAATTGTGGCCCTTCGTTACTAATGAGGTTTGGCAAATGCTGGTTTTACTGGTTCTGGTGCTATGAATTTGCGTACGTGACAGTCGTTGCACTGACCACGATGAAGACCTTTCTGTTTGATATTCTTTTCTCAAAACCCGATGGCCCTACAGTCAGAGGCTTTCCGCGGTAGTTCTGCGTGAGCTATTTCCTCAGTTAACGTGAATTACCAACTTCACACAATCTGAAATAGGAGTTGAACTTCGTGTTTAAAAGTTACTGAACACCTGAAAGACAGCATGATTTCTACTGGACTACAGCATGATAACTTGAAAAAAGATGGGAAAGAAAATACTACATTTTCATGGAATGAAAGTCCTTGACATACATCATTAATTAGCAAATTAGTACTATGGTAATAGAACTATGTGAAACATCCTTTTCCCTTTATCCATTTCATCAACAACAGAAGACATATGTGGGCAGAATTGATATTGGCCATCACGCGAAATTGATGGCCAATATCAATTCTGCCCACATGTCTTCTGTTGTTGAAGTAATAGAACTGCTTAGAATCTTCCAACTGATCCACTTCAAAAAGTTTCCGTCCCCGACTTTGGATGAACAACGCTTAAAGATAGGAACGAACATTACATTACTCAAAAACTATCCCGGGTAGTGACCTATTTAGATTTAATTAGTACTGTCTGTCTATCTGTCTATGACTCACCTCTGCATCTGCATTCGGGCTGAGTACGTGGGGATCATAATCGTAGATCGCAACCATACTTCGTACCGACTGGGCTCGGTTGGGTCTATCTGCCGTCGGAAATGGACCAGCGGTTTGATCCGGAGGCACCGTACCGGAACGAGATTGACCAACACCAACTGGACCCGATCGGTAAGATCCTTGACCTGATGGACTCATTGGTTTGCCGTAACCCATCGATGGACCACCGGAATCCATGTATTCTCGGTTCATGACGGTGCCATCACTAACCGAAGGAATGCGTTTGATTTGATTCGATCCGGAGTCGGGCCCTTCGCTTGAGATAGTCCGACCATACTGTCAAAATTCAGAAAGGAAATAATTGGAGCGCAGTGAATGAAGGAAATTATTTATTGAGGCATAGTGTGAAGATTCAAAGTTCAATAGATCGAGATACCCTTTAACATTTTTTAAATCTAATCTAAAATACTTACTTATTGTACTTTTACATGCATACTTTTCTTTCCGGTATGATCTCGTTTCATAGATATCACGGACAGGGACTGTTACCTAGTTGCGTTCTGCCACGTGATCGATCTAAACTGAAATCCAGTCTTGGTTTCGTCGAGGCATGGAGTAGGCGGACTGGAGAACGAAACTTTCATCGTCCGATTGGACAACAACATCATTTTAGCTCACCACCAGAGTGGTAGGAACACCCCACAGGAAGACAGTCTCAAAAGATGAAAAATTTGTTAGCACCGTTATAATCCTTGCTCTAGAAACTGAAAGACCTGCTCATTTTTGCAATACCGTCTTCTTCGGGAGTTATTGGAAAAATGGTCAGATCAGTGATAGAATACATCTCTTCCTTCCTAGTCAGGTCCAGTCTCACAAGCACAGATCAGCACCCGATGGGTAGTACCACGGAAACAAGGAAATCAAGTGGTAACTGGACTTCGTCTTTTTCGTAACTGTGTGGGGAAAAAATCAAGTTCAGATATTTTAAATCTGAAACATATTCAACTGGTTATTTGTCACCATTCATTTCCTTGGGGATGAAGAGCCATGCATCTTGGTACGAACTTGGTCTTAAATGTTTTTCCTGAAATCAATCACTCGTTTTGATCTAGAGACAAATGAAAATAAAATGAGTTTCAGTATGACTAACCGGATGTACTGCTGAACGTGTTCCGGGAGCATACGCCGTTCCTGTTTGTGGTCCCATCCCCGGGCCGGCAGATCCGATCGGTACATTATGCGATCGTTGAGGCACATTTGCTAAATCACCATCTCTTCGCGGCTTTGTTACTTGTCCCGGTGGCAGTACATTTCCCACACCGTCCGGACGTAATGGAAGACGTTCATTATCTAATTTTCCGTCTGGGGCACGTGACTGAAGACGACCACCCACACTGATCGCACCCCCGCTGACGCTTGCATGCGTACTTGTCGGAAGCTCCCGATCCGGATGCGAAACCATATTGGAAGGGACCAAACCACGTAGTCCATTACACTCACCCAGATAAAAGCCATCTTCGTCACATCCGCCAAATATCTGCTCATTAACGAATTATGTAATTGATTTTTAGAGAATAGAGGATATACAATGACCATGCACACAACAAAATAAACACTTTTTCAGAACCAGAGCTTGTATATTTGTGCCATTTTGAAAGGCAATTCATGACTAAAGCAAGTTATGACGAATGCCTAATGTTTACATTAACACTAAGTGGAATAGGAATAATTCGAAGCAGACTGCAAGTTGGTTGAAACAACAACAACGATGAAAACTACCAATATGCAATGCCCAGCCTGTTTTATCAAGCTTTTGATAGGATGAATACAGCTGCGGAAATTTTCCAAACTTGTATGCAATATATCAGACACTTTATTTTAACCTTTATTCAGGGAAATCTTAAATTCAAGCCGTACTTTGATCACTTGACCCTCGCGGAAGGGGAGTTCCTCCTTGATCGCGTCCGGATTCGGCGACATGGTGGCCGGATCATAGTCGTACAACGCGATTACCATACGCATCTGGGTGGCCTCGTGCACGGATTGCTGGAATGTTCCATCTGTCAGTGAAGTCTCCAAACCTGAAGGGGAGTGCAGGAGATAAACAATCTTCAGCA